TAGTGAATGTGCAGAGGCATCTCGTTTTGGTTTTAATTTGCATTTTCCTAATGATTAATAACACTGAGACATTTTTCCTTTCATATTGTCATATATGTAACTTCTTTCTTGAAGTGCCTCGTCAAATATTTTGCTCATTTTTGATTGGCTATCTTTTTATCACAAATTGTGGTGGTTTTCTATATTATCTTGACACACGTCTTTTGCCCTGATATAATATTGTAAACATTTTCCCCCATTCTGTGGTCTCCTTATTGTTTCCTAATGCTGCCCTTTGAAGAGGAAAATATTTTTCTCCACTTATGGAGACAAGATGGTTAACGTAGTTCTTCCAAAATGTTTTTAAAATTCTAGTTTCGTTTAAAACAACCACGGCAAACTGCATGGATTTGTTCCATGTCTGTGGAAGAAAAACATTATTTTATTTATTTCACAGTGGAAGATCGGTTGGTATGGCTCCACTTAGGCAGGTTTTGTTTTGTTTCCTCATGCCTCTGCAATGCCAGGGAGTCGCCCACGCCTTACTCACTGCAGCTGGATCGAGACCAGGCTCCCCACTCCTCCCACAGCCTCCCACGTGGGGCGCTCCACATTTGAAGGCAAAGTTAGAGATTTTTAGTGGAAATGTTGGTGTTTTCTTGGTGACTAGTAAATGGCTACAAATTAGAAACGTGGTCCTTTGGTTGTAATAGAAGGCTGCTGAGTGTTTCTGTGAAGATCACCCTGTGAAGAAACAGCTGCAGTGAGAGAGCGGCATAAGGTGGGACGCCGCTCCCAGGACGTGGGGTCGGAGAGGAGCTGAGTTCAGGACGGGCCGCAGGAGGAGGCCAAGGCGGACTCCAGGAGGGGCCAAGTGGGCAAAGCCAGGGCTGGAGAGGGGAAAGCCAGGATTCGCGCCGTGTCCAGCAGGGATGGCACGGAAGCCCGAGAGGCCACGGCCAAATGTGGAAATTAGCTTGGCCAAATCTTACATTTCAGAGAGAAAAGGCAATATGGCATTCATGCTTGCCTGGTTTAATTTTTGTAATTTTCCCTTTCTTCCTGCCAATAGCTTGCTTGTTATCCAGAGGGTAGCTACAATTTTAGCTCACAGTGATGTCAGCTTGAAGCTTCTCTCCACAAGCAGCTGCCACCTCAGCTAGTGTAGTCAGCCTTCCCAGCCTCCCTCCCCGGCCTCCCTGGTCTCCCAGGCACAAGACTCAGTGCTGGCTTCACAGTCACTGCAAGTGCACCACCCCCAAGGCCTAGGACTGATTAGCGTGGACAGCACCCAGCACACTTGCCTCAAAAAGTGTGAAGAAATAGGACACAAGCTGTTTGTTCTCATGACTATAGCACAAACTATAAAGCAAAACACCTTCCTCCAGAACACAGCAAACTGGATGCGTGGTGATCTGGACAAGCATTTCTTGTAGGTTTTGCAACTGGGGTTCAGTGGATACTGGGCTCCCCAGAGCATACGTGTGGACACAGTTAAGTTGCTCCCATTTTCCAAGACTCAGAGGGGATGTATTTACATTAAGAGTATATACTTGCTAGTAATGCAACTTCAGAATGTCCAAGTCATCTGTTGGAAAAAACAAAAATCGAGAAAGTCTGGGGCTGGTTCGCACTGTTGCTACGCGGACGGCTCCACACCCAGCCCCCGCTCGCCGCCTCGGCCTCCGTCTCCGGGAGTCCCACGCTCTCTCTCCTTTTAAAGCCTTCATGTTAGTGACAAGTTCAATTTTGTCTTCAACTTCAAAATTGCAGACAACCAATTTCTACTTCCTAGTCAAGTTGTATCATTTATCTTCCATGTTAACTTCATTTCAATTAAACTTTTAACCATCTGGAATCTTTGCCCTCTTAGGTGACAAAAATAGACATTAAATTGTATAATTTCTTAAATTCTCTGTTGAAAAGTCCTAATAAATTACTGTATATGATACAGATTAATAAGAATTTGGGCGCATTAAATATAAGATAATTTCGTAGTTTAAGGTAATGTCATAGCTTAAGATAATTTCACACCCCAAGGGATGTATAACCCAAACAGAAGGCAGATAACTAACATTAACTGTCAGCTGTCCACTGAAGAACTATCTCAGGCAAAAAATAAAATTTGGATTAGCTCTCTATGGTACACGATACTTTTTTGAACCATCTCTTTTGGGTTGACAGCTGCAGTGCATTCTGAGAGTATATTAATGCTACAACAGCAGTAAAAATAAAATTAAGTTGGGAACACACAGAAAAAAGAAATTGATTACATTGTTCCTAACGAGGACCCGAAACAAAGTTGGCCCTAAACAAAATTTTGTCAGAAGAGAGAAAAGAAAATAAAAAAGAGAGCGTGGCAGGATTTTATATTCTGCTCCCTTTTTGGAAAAACATATTTGGGTGAACCATATGAAACTGCCATTGAAAACCACATGTATGTTGGTCCTTGTGTATGGTTCAGTCTAGTCTTGTTACCATGGAGATATCTGCTAGACATCTGAGAAAGATTTCTTAGTGGTCCTTTCAAATAGTGAGTTGGTGCTGCCACCTGGCTCCTCCAAGCTGCTTGACCTGCAGGTGCGTGCATGTCTCACACAGGTCATCTTTTTCTCCATTAGCTGATGCTAAACAGTGAAAACAGCACCTTTACTCTAAAAACACCCAGACATCCTCCTCCAGTTAAGTCTGAATACACAGTTTCAGACTTAAAGAATACTTAAGACTTAAAGAATCCACTGTTTTCTTTAAGCTAAGGAAAAAGAATGAGCTCTCACATCTGCAAAGAATGCCTTTAAACAGAATGTCAAAAACGAACAGAAATTGTTTATTCCAGCATGTTCAGACCACCCCCTCTGTGGCCAGACTAGGGGCCACGATCAGATTCTTGCTTTGTTGTCTAAAGAATGTGGTCTTGCCAAAGTTGTGCAAGCCCCATGACATGTGCCACATGATATGAGTCATTTTATCACGCAAGCACCAGAAGGAATCTTCACAGCCGTGTCATTACAGAGACAGCAGGCGAGACAGAGCCGGGCTCATCCTTCCTCCCCTGCACACTGCTGGCTGGGCTGCCAGGGCCGCAGGTGGACAGCGCCTGTCCACTGGTGTGTGCCCAGCTGTGGGCTCCTCACCAGCCTGCGTCCACTCGGTTGGTGAAGCAGAACCACCACAGACCTCAGAAAGCTGGCCTAGGGCATGGGTGAGCAAACACTGCTGGCTCTCGTACCAAGCGACCTGGCCTAGTGTCCGAACCTGCTCTTACCTCGAGACCTGAGTGCCCTGGCCTGCAGCTGAGCCCTGCGAGCCATCCTAGCGCATTGCCCTCCATGAGGTGCAGTTGGAAAGCCTGGTTCAGTCCTCATCACACAGACCTCAGAAGGGTCCAGGGCCTCTCAGCCTGATCAAGTCAACAGATTTTGCATGGGAAAAGTAAGCCTTTAAATGGATTTTCCAAGACAGAATGTCATGGCTTCTCTCTTGACAAGTACTTGGAAAGGGAGCTAAGAATAACAACAATGCCTGTCAAACACACAGGGCTATTACAAAAATGAGACAATGAAGTGGAATCAAGTGAGAAATAAAAAGTTCTACATAAATATGTGATTTTTATGACTACCTTTTGATGAAGGTAGAGCAACCGACCACTTTTACATTATAACACATTGTTCACTACTTGAGAACATTTCATTACAGATAGAATATCACAGATAAAAAATAAACATGATACATCACACCATTCGCAAGGCAGATCTCTGAGGCATCCACTCACAGTATCACCTGCTCTTCCTCTGAGTGGTGTGAGAGCACTGCTGATCAGAACCACGCAGGGGACGCCTCCTGAGTGCACAGCGGCCTGGTACTGGGCCCGGAGCCAGAGGCCACACCTGAGCCCTGCTGTCCATGTCCCGCTGACTTTGTTCTCTGCCTTCCTGGCTGCTGTCTTCCCAGAAAGTCCTCAAGGGCAGAGGACTTATACTGCTCTTCTTATATTGCAGGCTGACACAGCTCTCTTCTTAGCAGTGGCTTTGCCAAGTTTGTCGTAAATCTTCCCCTGATAGAGGTCTCTAATAGATTTGGTATTTTACATAGTAGAGTTTTCTTTTTTGACATATTATCCAGCTATTATTATTTAGATTAAATAATTTTATATTTCTTTTTCTTAAAGTCATATTTGGCATAACTGGAATATGACTTGCTTTGGAAAAATTTATATAAAAACCATAGCAATATGTGTCAGAAACAATATATGTCAAAATTTTAAATGATTTACTGAAATTAAGAATATTAAATAAGACTCTGGGTTTTCTTGCCCTATATCTGCTTTATTTATCTATTTTCAACTAGTTTTAAATAAAATTCATTTTAACAAAGGGAAACAATATATTTTTAAATGCTTAGGTAACTCTAAGTGTTAGAAAAATAAAAATGAGTTATTCCAAACTTTCGTTTCTCAAAAATGTTAAGAGAAAAATGCATGCACATTTATGGCGAATGTGTGAAAGTTCCAGTAAGGATCCCAGGAAGTCAACCTTGTGACATTTTGTAGAAGGTGAGGTCACAGCACACTGCATTTCTTGCAAAAATAGAGACAAGTGACGGCCAGTGGAGCTCTGGGTGGGATGAAAGTCCCCAGCTCCCTAGTTTCATGGATAAGAGAGAACACTCTAGATCAGGGCACTCCCAGCTGGTTCCAGGAGTCCTCACCTGGGGCATCACAGGCTGCTGAGGTTATCTGGAATCTTGAACTGCCTTGGAAGCATCCTCACTCTTCAAGGATCCTATAACCATGGGATTCTAGGATCTTAGGAATCCCATATACACAGAGTCAATTCCCAGGACAGCTATTTCTCTCTGATGAACATGTCCAAGCAGTCTGTGGAGCCCTGCCTCAGTTGTACAACCATCAACTGTGGGAGGAAGGCCCAGAAGCCATGCTGTGCACACAGACGGCGTCCTGGGGCAGAGGCCACACTCACCACGCAGAGTCATGCACCAGCTAACCAGAAGACCAGAGCCAGTTAGGACTGCTTACTGCTTTATTTTCACTTCTTAAAAGAAATCCTCTCCCTCTTTTTCCTTCCAGGTCTAATTATCAAACAAATACTGTATTATGTTTTATCGAAGGATATTCTGTTGTAACTTTACCAAATTCTGTGCAGAAGTACTGGATGCCATTTCCATTTTCCCAATGAGGGGTATCCCTTTTGAGGAGCAGAAAGACATAAAAATGTAACAGTGGAACATGCAGGGTGCAGGAGCTTGCTAAGGGGGAAAGCTGACGCAAGTCTCAAAGTATGAGAAGCAATTGCCGCCCTGGCCCCGCGATGGATGAACCACCATTTCTTACTTTCCAGTTGTCCCTTGCAGCATTCCTGTGCCCAGCTCACAGGTCAGCAGTTACTCAGCTAGAAAGAGCTGGAGCTTACCATCCAAGGTGGCTGTGGTGAGCTGTAATTGAAAATAAAATACCATGTAATTCCAATCACCTTTTATTAATTGAGAGCTCTGTAAGAAAATAAGCTGAAAGTATATATTTTCTTTATTTGTAATGTTCCGGATCATGGAGTAACATGCACTACCATAGTAGAATCTATATATACAACAGATAGTATGCTGACAATTAATTAATTCAAACTACATTTCATTGCTGTTTTAATAATTTTAGGGGCCCTGGTCAGAGCTGATCCATCTTTGGTGCACAAAAGGGCATGGGACATCCTGGTTAGCACCTGTGAACCTCCTTCCAGGCAGAACTGAAGAGCAGGGCGCAGGAGAGCACTCTTGATCGAGGAGGAGGAGGAGGAGGAGGAGGCGCCAGGAATCTGCCCCCCACAGACAGCAACTGTACTGGGAAACTCTGATGTACACACTTCCAGTACTTTGAATTTCTGGAGTCTGTTGAAGGCTTGCAACTTCCAGGGGGAACACTTGAACTATAAATTGTGGTTAATTTTTGTCAACTTCAGATTCTGGCACATTAGCAGCTCCCCTTCCCCTGTCCCCACCCCCATGCATACCTTTCAAAAGCGATCTGCACAGGGCCTGCAGAAACCAGGATGGGCAGAAAGCACCCAGCCTCCAAATATCAGGGACCTGTGCTCTGATCAGTGACGGATGCTGCTTATTACAGAGGTGCAAAGAGGCGGGCAGCCATTGTTACCCCTCCCGCATAGCTATGAGCCCCTCTTCTCCAGGAGAAGCAAATTCCAGAGCATTGAAGGAGCCAGCGCCCTTGATTCCCACTTTAATTTTCTCTCCTCTCTTTATGGGAGCTGGACAGTAAAAAATGAGACTTCAAAAACAACTATGTACTTGGGAAAAATTAGAAAGTGACTAAGGAGGCTGAGGCAGGCAGATCACTTGAGGTCAGGAGTTTGAGACCAGCCTGACCAAAATGGTGAAACCCCATCTCTATTAAAAACATAAAAATTAGGTAGGTGCCATAGCAGGCACCTGTAATCCCAGCTTCTCTGGAGGCTGAGGCATGAGAATCACTTGAACCCAGGAGGCAGAGGTTTCCAGTGAGCTAAGATTGTGCCACTACACTCCAGCCTGGGCAACAGAGCAAGTGTCTGTCTCAAAAAAAAAAAAAAAAAAAGTGACTGTGGACCACTTATGCCACAGGAAAGGCTCAAGAAAAAAGAACTAAGAAGATCTGAACTTTACAACTCAGGCTGGTCCTTGGGGCAGAGCCAAGCTACAACAATCAAAATAAACAAAAACAATAAATAGAACAATGACAAAAATCAAACCCAGGGGAAGGGGGAGAACCTTACTTCAGAATTACCACAATACTACATTCAATTGTCAAGTTTTCAATAAAAGGTCACAAGGCATTCAACGAAATAGGAAAGTATGGCCTATTCAAAGGAAAAAGATAAGCAGATTAATGGAAATTGTCTCTGAAAAGAATCAGATGGCACATCTACAGCACAAAGACTTTAAAACAATTGTTTTCAATTACTCGAAAATTAAAGAGAGATGTGGCTAAAGACAGGAAAATTATGTATGCATTCATACATAATTTTGGAAATATCAATAAAGAGATAGAGAACCTAAAATGAAACAAAAAATATTTTGAAGCTAAAAATATATAATAATGGAAATAAAGTATCCCCTAGAGGAATTAAAAGGCAGAGTTGAGCAGGTGAAGAAAAAATAGAAACAATCAAGTCTGAGGCACAGAAATTTAAAAAAGGACTGAAAAAAGTGAACAGAGCCTAAAGGGCCTATGGGACACCATCAAGGGCCCAACTTACACATTGCAGGAGAAAACATAACAGTGGAAAACTCCCAAATTTGATTTTATAAAATGGTTATAAATGTATATCCAAGAATTCAATAAACTCCAAGTAAGAGGAACTCAAAAAGTCCCACACTGGGACAAACCACCATCAAACTTTCAAAGGCCAAAGGCAAAGAGGGAATTCTGGAAGGAGCAAGAGAAAAGTCTTATCACACCAAAAGGATTCTCTGAGATTATCAGCAGATTTCTTCTCATAATAAGCTTTGCAGACCATAAGGCAGTGGTCTTATTCACTAGACTAAAATAAAACTCAAACTCCCCAAAAACTATCAACCAAGAATCCTAAACCAGCAAAGATGCCATTCAAAAGTAAGGGAAAAATTAAGACATTCCCAGATAAATGAAGCTGAGGAAGTGTGTTACTACTAGACCTTGCCTGCCAGAAATGTATTGAGGGGCACCACAAGGTGGAAAAGAAAGGACCCTAGACAGGAATTTGAAGCTGTATGGAAAAATAAAGATCTCAGTAAAGGTAAGCACATGGGCAGTTATAAAAGCTATTATTATAGCAACACTGTATGATTCCACTTTTTTGTTTTCCACATGATTTAAAAGACTAAAATATTTTTTAAAAGATTAGTCTAAATGGCAGTATTATCATAACTTTGGTTTGCAACTCCACATTTTGTTTTCTACAGAATTTAAGAAACTGTGTATTTAAAATAATCACTGTTTTATGTTTTGGGGAATAAAATGTGTAAAAATGTAATTTTGTGACATCAACAACTGACGGGGTGGGGAAAGAGATGTAAAGGAACAGAATTTTTTGTGTTACTGAAATTCACTGTTATAAATTCAAACAAGAGTGTTATAATTTTAGAATACTACATGTAATTCCCATGGTAGCCACAAAAACAAAATAGCTATACAATGTACAAAAAAGAAATTGAGAAAGAAACTAAAAAATTTCCCTAAAAATTTTACTAAAGAGTGAACTGTAATGCAGAAAATAAGGGACAAAAATCTATAAGGCATATAGAAAACAAAAAGAAACATGGCAATAATAAGTCCCACCTTATCAGGAATTAGTTTAAATGTAAATGAGAAGGTAGATTGAAAAGAAGGATTAAAAACACATAATTCAACTACAGTTGCCCCTCAGTATACTTGGGGGATTAGTTCCAGGAACCTTGACATAAAATTAAATCTGTACATACTCAAGTCCCATAGTTGGCCCTGTAAAGCCTGCATATACAAAAACTTGACCTTCCATTTATGCGAGTTTTACATCCCATAAATACCACAATTTTTATTTGCATTGGTTAAAGAAATCCACATACATGCAGACCTGCACAGTTTGAACCCATGTTGTTCAAGTGTCAATTGCCTATGCTGTCATATACATTATTTTTGAATGGAGTGGTGATCAAAAGAAAGCAGGGATAGATACACCAATATCAGAAATAAAAAGCTTTAAGTCAAAAAGGCTTAAAGAAACACATATATATATATATATATATATATATGAAAGATATAATACAAGAAAATATAAATATTATAAACATTTATATATCTAATAATAGACCATCAAAATATATGAAACAGAAACTAATAGAATTTAAGGAAGAAATAAACAGCTTTACAATAATAGCTGAAGATCTTAATACTCCTCTTTTAATAATGGATAGGACAACCAGACAGAAGAGAGGCAAGGATATAGAGAATTTACACAACATGATAAACCAACTAGATCTGATAAACACTTTACGAAACAAGAACAGCATATAGCATACATATTCTTCTCAAGTGCATATGGGACATTTTCCCAGGATAGACCATATGTTAATCCACAAATTAAATCTCAATAGATTTTAAAACATAAACAACATACACAGTATCTTCCCTGACCATACAGGATGAATTTAGAAATTGAAAATAGAAGTTAAATTTGAAAAGTCAAAAATTGTGGAAATTAAATGACACACTCAAACAACCAATGGATCAAAGAAGAAATAATAAGAAAAATTAGAAAATACTTATAGATGAATAAAAATAACACACCATGCAAAAAATCTGTTACACAGCAAGAACAATGCTAAAGGGGGAATTTATAGCTATAAATGCATATATATACATATATATATATATGTAAACTAGAGATTTATATATCTTTATATATCTTTGTAAACTAGAGAAAGAACAACAGCACATCGCAAAGCTAGCAGAGGAAGTAACTAAGAAAGATTAGAGCAAAAATAAACAAAATGGAGAAAAGAAAAACAGANAAAAAAAAAAAAAAGATTTATTGAAAAAAAACAGAATTGAGAAACCTCTAACTACATGGACTAAGAAAAATAAATAAGACTCAACTTACTAAATCAGAAATGAAAGTTTTGGACATTACTACTAATTCTTCAGAAAAAAATGATTATAAGAAGGTACTATGAACAATTGTATGCCAGCATATTGGATATCCTAGATAAAATGTACAAATTCCCAGAATCACAAAACTTACCAAGACTGAATCACAAAAAATTATCTAAAATTTTTATAGACCTATAACTAGTAAGGAGACTGAATCAGTAACTAAAAAAATCTTCTGACAAAGAAAAATCTTAGGCTGGGCACAGTGGCTCACATCTGTAATCCCAGCACTTTGGGAGGCCAAGGCAGGCAGATCACCTGAAGTCAGGAACTCAAGACCAGCCTGACCAACATGGTGAAACCCCGTCCTTACTAAAAATATATAAATTAGCCAAGTGTGGTGGCATGTGCCTGTAATCCCAGCTACTCGGGAGCTGAGGAAGGAGAATCGCTTGAACCTGGGAGGTGGAGGTTACAGTGAGCTGAGATAGTACTACTGCACTCCAGCCTAGGCAACAGAATGAGAGTCTGAAGAAAAAAATGAAAGAAAGAAGAAAGGAAAGGAAAGGGAAGGGAAGGAAAGGAAAGGAAGGAAGGGAAGGGAAGGGGAGGGGAGGGGAGCGGGGAAAGAGGGGAAAGAGGGGAAAGGGGAAGAAGGAAGGAAGAAGGAAGGAAGGAAGGAAGGAAGAAAGGAAGGAAGGAAGGAAGGAAGGAAGCAAGCTAGACTCAATGGCTTTGCCAGTGAATTCTACCAAACATTTGAAGAAGAATTAACACCAATAAAAAACACTTCCTATCTCATTTCCCCAATACCAAAGCCAAATAAGATTCCACAAGA